CTCGCTCAAGACTTGAATGGAAACAAACCAAATGACAAAAAAAGTTTGCACAGAGAAAACACAAGCCTTCAAAATAAGATTAGGAGAACATACCCTGTTCTTACCACTCCAAAAACCTCTATGACCTCATGGTGTATATATGACCAAAGAAAATAATCTTACAAAGAAAAAAACACAGGCATTCTCCACTTTGCTAAAGCCCATCTCCTGTGGATAAGAAAGATACAGCTGTACTCTTGAACCCATAAGGCTTGGAAACTAGGCCATTCTTCTGCTTAAGGCACTGAACGAAAGAATTCTTGTCAGATACTTTCTCCCACGCCCCCTCTGTCCAAATCAAAACCATGTGTTCTTAATGTGCAAAAGCAAATCCAGAAGGGAAAAAGAGGGGGAAAAAAAAAAAAAAAGGAAAAAGAAAGAAATTGGTATAATCATTATTATCCCAACCTGACCACTCTCTTATCTCCTGCCCTGTTGGGTTATTTTCTTCTTTGAAACGCAGCTGTCTAGTAGCCTCCCCATCAGAAAGCTTTGGATGGCATCAGACATCAGCCTTCCCTCACTAGCCTGAAAATGGGTATACATGTCAAAATTATTATTATTTGTATGATAATGAAGCAAATCATACAAGCATAGGTCTCTGCACTATCCTTCCTTAAAAATCCCTCTGCCATGACATCTCTTCATCATTCTCATATGGCACTGGTTAACTTAAGGCAAACCACAATTCCCACATTCCTCCTTGACTCTGGCCACTGTTACCATCCGGCACTCCTGCCTTGTTTGTTCCTTCTTCTGCTGGAGACATGCAAGATCTCTGCAGCACAATTAGTCAAATTCTATGTGTCTGAAAAGTACAAAGCAAAATAATACCTTAAAGTTTAGCTACATGTGTGATACTGCAACACAAATAATTAATAATACCTTCACAAATAACAGTAATACCTTTCAAAAGATTAAGTTGCACTTACAGTAGCAGTATTCTGATGGTAGACTCGGAGAGCCTCGTGTCAGAAAAAGCAAAACTACAGCATTATCATTTTTATTAATTTTATTAAAGCAACTAGTATACAGCTGACCGTTAATGAGTCTTTTCTTATACAGAGCTCCCAAAAAAATTTAAGAGAATACATTACTGACATATTTTCTTTAGCCTTAGGAAAACCATTCCCCAGTTTAATGACATGATACAAACCAACACAATATAAAGGGCAAAAATATAAAAGCTCATCTTCCCTCAATGAGTATCAACTCAATGAAAACAAAGAAGCTACTCTAGCTCAAAACTTTTCATTCCTGTCCCTCTCCTCCTCCAGTTTAGGCAGAGATGGAAAGCTCAGTTCACCCAAACTAAACCAAACCACTAACTAGCAAGTGTTTGAACGCAAGGAAACATTACCTACCACAACCTACGTAAAATGTATCAAGAGGAAGCTGTTAATAGTTACTTGTGCAAAATCAAAACACAGGAAAATTAGTATTTTGAATACTACTCTTATCCCTCTCTTGAAAAAAATGAAATCTGGTAACAGGCATGAAAATAATCTTTGTCATACTGCTTCCACCCATTAATTTCCCCAAGTTTCCCAATAAACCATTCAATAGGAGTGTTTGACACTCATACTCTGTTTCTTTAAGCATAGCTTTCATGAAAGAGAAATAACATTCCCGAATGAAAATACTGATAGACATCTGCTTGAGAAGTTAAACATAGCACCGGGAGATGTAAATAATAGCAAAAAGGAAAAGACACAAAGAGGGTGTGAATTGCTGTAACCAGACCTGTCTGTTCCACACACATTGACTGTCTCTCTATTTCCCTCCACCTGTTGCTTGTCCCTTGTTGGTGGTCCCTGTGCCTTAGACACCAGTTTTCTGATAAGACCTTATCAAGTAATCTGCTGCATGATCTTATCCCTTTCTAGACAATTTTCAAAGGGTGCTGTGGGAGAAAAGGCACAAAGAATTACGGAAATATGCACAGTTTTCACCCATCCTTCCAGGAACTCCCATAATTCCTCAAAGAATGTATATTCTTATGATAGGGGTTATATCCAATTAGTATATCTTCTTTTTTCCAAATGAAAAAACACGCTTGCATACTCACTCAGAAAAGCATACATTGACATTTTACTTCTTTTCTACTTTAAAGAGCACCAACAGCAGCTGCCAAGAGACAGGGGGTGGCACTGGTAGGGTATTTCCCCGTGATTTCATGCCTCACACAATGTGCAAACCACAGCTGGACATATATGTAGGTTTGTACTCAGAACCATCAATCAGCTCTCTTCAGGATACAGAGATACAGACTGTCCCTTGAGAGAGACACAATGGAACAACATTGCTGCGATGGCCATGTGTACAAGATGGAGATCTCCTGAAGATCACCATTAGCTGCAGAACTCGCGAGAGCTTTGCTAATATACGCACTCAGGAACTGGAAATATGCACTACAAAGAGAAGTTATTTACCAGGTCAAAACCACTCATACTTATGCTGCTCTTTAACTGCTCACTCTTTCCAGTAACTTCTCCCTTTAGCTGCAACTTCTTACCACCTTAGTCACTGACACTTACTAGCTAAACTTTGTGTGCATCAAGACCCATTGGCATAAACACTTCTCTAGCCCATTAGTACTTATTAGCAGGAGGAAGCACATGCAAAGTAAATTAAGAGTCTCACCTCAGCCTGACAGAATCCATTTTAAATTACAGAATACTGCTGTTTGGGAAGTCAGCAACAGACCTCCTCCTCCTCCATCCCACAAGTGCCACTTCAGCAAAAGGTCTTACGTAAGGGAGATCATGGGCAGCAAAGAGGAATTCCTGAGGGTCCCTAACAGGCAGAAGCAACAACCTCCCTGAGATCACTGCTCCAAACCCCAGCCAATGCTATAACTAACAACAGCACTTGAATTATTTTGTGCAGATTTGGGAACTTACTCCTGAACAGCTTTCTACTGTTTATCCCACTGGAGAATTATATTCCTTAGTGTTAGGTTACAGACTTATACCAAGATTTTCAGGAGTAAATGTGCAATTCTGAGTATGTTGATATACTGTACAAACCTGGTTTGTTGGTTTAAGAGGCGGGGGGGGGGGGGGGGGGGGGGGTGATAACGCACTCTCTGAAATAACAATAAAAAATACTCCTTACTCATCTCTAGGTGTCAAAATAGAATATTCAAATGTAGCATATTATTTTCTAAATTAACTACTCACTTTAACTGGAGTTTTCATTCTATAGAAGTTAATGGCATTTGGGAATGATTTCCATTTGCCTCGTGTAAATGTACCTTGCAAATCTTATGTACTATATTACTGGACAGATGCATGAATATTTCTTCCTGTCATCTCTCTCTCATCTACATTTCCATATACATTGAAAGGAGACTCATGAGTCTCAAACCCAAACTTTGTCTTGTAATTAAATCTAAACTTTCATTTTAATCTGAAGGACTTGCGTTCATTCTGACAATAATACAGGATTCATCAGTCCATGAAGTGTAAGGACAGACCAAATGCATTTACTTGCTTTAATTAGTAACCAGGCTGATATTGCTATGTCAATTCAGCTTCCACTGAGCAACTGATACTAAAAAGCTCATTATAACAAGACAGGAAGCTAGGGTTTCACTTCTTTAACTATATTATCTCATTTCTGTTACCTTTGTCTTCCAAACTCTCTTCTCATATTCACTTTTCACTTCATATAATTCAATAACCTATTCAGCAGACACTGCTGCTTTGGCTTGTACAGTAACAAATATTATTAGCTCCTACTGTGGGCCAGGACCTCTACACATTGATGCAATACAAACAAGCATCTTCTTCGACCAATTTCAACCCACCAGGCCACCTTCCTTCGTTTCTTACTGATCACTTTCTACCCAAGTCAAAGTTGGATGTGACTGCATGCATTAAATTTTGTATGACTCTTGCACCTTCTGCCACCTTCTCGAATGTAACTAACTATATCTAGCCCACATTCCAAACATACCTCTTTAATATTGGTCTTCTCTGCCAAGACCGAAGTTTCACACCTCCACTACTACTGCCTATTTAAATAATCGCCACCAATAGACAGGACCAAATATGGTCCAGGATTTTAAGATTTCCCAGGTACACTGCCTATCATAACCAAGGCTGGCTATTTTCTGTTGGAAGACCACTACGACACTATGCTTCTGCTCCATCAAGTCCGGGCGGAGCAGAGGAAGAGCGCAAATATGTTTAAACAGCACACAAAGGAAGACACAAACAATCAACTCGGGAGATACCAAGGACACGACAACAGCCTCTCTCAATTGCAACACAAAGCAAAACAGAGGAAGGAATACAGCAACAGCCACGCTGGGGACCACCTTCGAGGTGCAAATCAAACAAAGGACAAGTACGTTTCAATCTCAGAAGGCGAGACAGGACAGCGCGCCAGGCAGTTAGGAAACGCACCAGTGGGCGCCCCGGCCCCGGGGCAGGGGTACACGAAGTGGAGGACGCGTGAAAGCAGCGCAGCCCGGCATGCAGCCCGCGGGGCCACAGGCCTCTCGCCGGCGAGGAACCGAAGCAAATCGCCTGTGTGCGCTTACAGCCACAAAGCACATATAAGGGCAGCCCAGCCCAGCCCAGCCCAACAACGCCTGGAAGAGGTTGTCCGGTCTCGGTGTGGAACGGCGGCCTCCCGCCGACCCTACCGGAGGCCCGGGGCCGCGGTCGGGCTGGGGAGACGTGGATCCCAGCGCGCCGGACCCGCCCCGGCAGCGCCGCATGGAGGAGCCTAAGGCGCGGGCAGGCAGCGGAGCCGGCCCGGCGCTGGGGAGTGCCCAGCCCGCCAGGAGAGGGGACGGCTGCGGCCCTCCCACCCCCCGGGCACCCGGCCTGGGCGGCAGGACAGGACAAGCAGGGCCGGGCCGCCGCCAGGTGTCGGGGAGACGCGGCTGCGGAGGGGGCGTCGGACGGGGGAAAGGGCGCGGAGGGGGTAAGGCCCGGCACAACACTCACGTTCTCCGTATCCCGCTCGTTGACGGTGGGCAGCGGCGTCCGAGTGGACATCTTGTGGGCCGCAGCGCGGGACCGCGCCCGGCGCGCTGAGAGGAAGGCCGCCCGCTCTCTTTAGGCCGCGGCGGAGGCCGCCAGCTGCTCCTGCCGGCAGCCGGGCGCACACGGCGGGACGCGGGCCTCCTGCCGCGCTGCCGGCCCCGCTAGGCTCCCGGCGCCATGGTCTCACCCGCCCGGCCGATCCTCCGCGCTCCCGCCCGCCTCTCCGCCGCCGGGCTTCGCGCAGCTCGACCGCCGGCTCCTCCTCCTCCTCCTGCTGCCCGCTCAGGTGAGCGGCCGGCAGCGCAGGGCGGCCGCGGCACCTTCTCGCAGCATCCGGCGGCAACACCGACTCCTCCTCCTGCCGCTGCTACCCCACGCTCCCTGCCCTGTCTCTCCCCTCCCCTTGTCCTCCTTGCCCCCGCCCCGCCGCGCTGGGCCCGGCCCCGCCGGCCAGGCTCCACCGCCCCGCGCCGCAGGAAGCGCCGGGCTGTGCGGGCGGGAGCGGCAAACGCGGGCGGGCGGATAGTCTCTGCCGGCGCCACCGTCCCTCCCGCTGTGGCAGCCGTGACGGGTGGTGCCGCGTCGGCCACTGCCGGGGTCGGCGATGGCCGGGAGGGCGCGCCGGGCGCTGGCCAGAGAGGGGTCGGGCCGCGGCAGGTGTGCTGCTTCGGGAGGGAGAAAGAGGGGACTGGGCGATACGGTGCCCGGGGAGGAGGCCAGCGGAGCTCGGGGCTCAGGCGCCTGCGGAGCCCCCAGCGTGAGGGGGGCGGGACCGTGCCCACGGGGGTGCTGGTGTCCGGTGCAGCTTGGCGAGGGGCTCGCCACGGAGACTCTCCCATTACCAAGGGTCGGCCTTAGGAAGGGCGGTGGGGCGGCTGTACCCGCCTCCGGCACAGCTCCGAGTTCACAAGTCACAGACTTTCTGGAGGCTCCTAAACGCCTGTGTCAGCGTCTGTGTAAATCATTGGTGTGGCTGAGCCAGCCTGCTTTACCCGCTTTGAAGCTGAAACGGGATCAGCAAAACTGCAATGCATCTACCCGCTTAGGTCCAACCCGCACACAGTACTCAAATGCTTAACCAATGACCTCATGTACTTAAAATTAGAACCATACAGGCATTTTTTGTCTTTGAGATGTTACTGGTGTTTACATGACATTAACCCTCCTCCAAATTCTAAAAGTAATAATGAAAAAACAACCTCCCCTGCACCAAACCGCAACAAAAACAATGTGCCTGAATTTCCATTGCAGTATATTGATGGGGCTTTGTAGCTGAGGCTATAAACACCATAAATGCTGTGAACACAGTCATTGTTCTGAAAGACCTTCCTCAAGGAAAGTACTATGATGGATTGCATGTGCTTGTGAAAGGGCATAGACTGTTATTCATTACCTATATTTATAGGTAATATGCATGTATGCACCTATATTTATAGGTATATTTATAGGTAAATGCGCTAGAGTGTATTTAGTTCTGGCTGAGCTAGCTCTGCGTTAGTGCCCCTGACAATGGAGTTTTCCAGCTGGTTGGGAAAACAGCTCTTCCTCTGTAGCTGTTGCAGGCACAGGCAGAGAACATCCCCATGCTGTACAAGCAGTGTGACTGGCCTCGCTCTTTGCCCATTCAGCATCGCGTGGTTCTGATTTGTGTGGCTGGGATGACAGAGGTTCCCAAGTCCTTGCAAGGGCCCAGCTCTCTCCTCACAGAGCTGGCATTACTGACTGCAAGGGAAACTTCAGGGGCCTTCATTTTCATGGGAATAAAATAACGCAAGATTTGGTTTACACGGGGTAAACGGCTATGGTCTAGCCATAACAAGTTTGTTGACCACCATGAGGGGAGATGACGTGTGGCCACGAGAGGTGAAGGGTGGTCACAGGAGGAGATCATGAGGGGAGAGAAGGAAAAGCCATGAGGACGTATGGCCTTGAGGGGTGAGGGGAGATCATGAAGGGAGAGGACGGGCAGCCATGAGGGAAGATTATGAGGGGAAAATAGGGGTGACCATGAGGGAAGACCATTGAGGGGAGAGAAGGGGTGGCCATGAGGAGTGAAGGGTGGTTGTAAGAGGAGATCATGAGGGGAGAGGAAGGGCAGCCGTGAAGGAAGATCATGTGGGGAGAGGAGGAACATCCATGAGGGAAGATCATGATGAGAGAGGAGGGGTGGCCATGACGAGTGAGGGGCTGTCAAGAGGGGAGATCATGAGGGGAGAGGAAACACATCCATGGGAGAAGATCCTGAGGGGAGAGGAGGGGCAGGCGTGAGAGAAGATCTTGGAGGAAAACAAGGAGCAGTCATGAGGGGAGATCATGAGGTGAAAGAAGGGGTGGCCATAAGGGGAGATTGTGAGGGGAGAGGAAAGGCATCCATGAGGGAAGATTGTGGGGGGAAAGGAGAAGTGAACATGAAGGGAGATCATGAGTGGAAAGAAGGGTGTCCATGAGGGGAGATTATGACAAAAGAGGAGGGGCGGCATGAGGGAAGATCATGAGCAGAAAGGAGTGGCGGCCATGAGGGGAGACCATGAGGGTTGAAAGGCAGTCATGACAGGAGATCATGAGGGGAGAGGAAGGGCAGCCATGAGGGAAGATCATGGAGGAAAAGGAGGGGCAGCCATGAGGGGGTGTTGTGAGGCAAGATGAAGGGTGGCCATGAGGGGAGATCGTGAGGGGAAAGAAGGGGCAGTCATGAGGGGAGACCAGGAGGAGGGAGAAAGGATGTCAGTGAAAGGTGAGGTGCCATTGTGAGCAGAGATCATGAGGGGAGAGAAAGGGCAGCCATAAGGGAAAATCATTAGGGGAAAGGACGGGCAGCCATAGGATGAGAGGGGTGGCCATGGGGGTAGGAGCAGCAGCTATTCAATGTGGGCCACTGTGAGGGGTAGATGAGGGATGGATGTGAGTGGAGATCGTGAGCGGCAGCCATGAGGGAAGATCTTGAGGGGAGATCAGTTTGCCCTCAGTGACATGGTTTAGGTGGGCTTGGCAGTCCTGGCGTAATGGTTGGACTTGGTCATCTTAAAGTCTTTTTCAACCTAGTTTATTCTATGATTCTAAACTGGATATTCACCCAGTTTGGTTGCTTAGCTTATCAAAGTGCATTCACTTTTATCCCAAATAAGAACAAGGCTGTGTCTAGGGCTCTGCGTGGGGCCTCACTGCAACCCTTGCTTGGTGAAAACTCCTGCTGCCACAAGCCCTTTGCAGGATGGATCTGTGTACATGCATGTGTTTGGATAAGGAGACTCAAATGTCTTCTAAATGTGTTTAATGGCACCACTGAGGGAAAGGCTAGGAAGACTTCCTGCCTTATATATGGATGTGTTGTGGTCACTAATTAATAGTAAAATGTTGGTTCATCATGAAATTTAAAGCGGAGTAATGCAGTAATTCTTGTTATCTAAAGATCTGTTTTGCAGTTGTTTTGGCCATGGTTGTTACTGTTATGATCTTCTTTCATGTTAATAAGGTCACTCATTAATTTAATAGCTTAGTTTAATTGTGTTTGGTTATTACCACCGGCCTCTCATCTCCCCTGAGTCAGAAAATGCAGGGACAATGACCGACGAGCTTCATGGACTAGAAAATGACCACAAAGATGGTCCCATTGTCCCCTAGCTGCTCTCCAAAGAGATAAAACAAACAAGTGTTTTGCTTGGGATCCCTGTTTTAAGGGGCTAGAGGAAGCCTTGGCTCATCATATCAGAAGTGAAAAGGACAGATTCATGTCAACAGTGAGCTCTGGGTAGTAGCTGTGATCTTTTACCCTGAGCTCTGAGAAACCTGTGCAGGCCTCTTCTCAAGCTTGGGCAAGTGCCTGGTTGTTTTGTTCCTGACTGGTTCTTGAGGCAGAAAGAGAGGATGCAAAGCACAAGACTTGAGCTCATACAGCATTATTATTCTGAAATGCACTCATTCTCTGCATTTTTTCCAGAAATGACATGTTTACTTATGACTAGACAACTTTGTTTAGTGAGGAAACTAAGGTGTCAGTCAGCTTTGTAGGCACTCGTCCCTCCAAAGGGAAGCTCCAGCACTGAGTCAGCTGCAGCTTCCCGCAACACAGGCAGAACATACTTGTTGCTTTGTGCCTTGTAGAAGCCAAACCCATGCGCCTCCTCCACGAAGCCAGCTGTCTGGTGATTAGGCCTGCTTTCCTTTTTGTTTGCAGGGATGTGCTGGATGGGAGTAGCACAGCCAGGCGAGCACAGGCACAGAAACTGCAGAAGGTTGGCTTCCCAGCTCCAGCGCTCCTTCTGGACCCACCTCAGATGGTCTGTAGTTAATTTAATGACTGGCATGAACTTCAGCTCTGAAGAGTGGATGTTCCACCACCTTAACAGTAAGTGAATCCCATCCACAACTGTATTAGCGATTTCAGACAATGAAACCTTTTCCCACAATTTTCAAATCTAATTCTGAACAGCGAAAGGGTGAGAGGTTCAGAAATAATGCAGGAACAGATGAGCACTGAAATGTGAATAAAACAGAGCAAAATCTTGGTCTTTAATGAGTTTCATTGCACAAGGAATATACTATATTGTGAAAAATGAAAAAAAAAAGACCTGGCAAATGCATAAAAGTAATGTACTTGCAGCTGCATGTAGTAATACTGCAGTAGTATTAAGGACTCCTGAAGTCATTACAAAGTACAGATACAGGGCTCCATGAATTATTTACTTTCATGGGGGACACAGGACAAAATTATATGTACTCTGAATACTTGGACTACGTAGACTTTGTAAATATATATTAGTTATAGTCAAGATTCTGATTTTGCCCTAAGAATCATTAGGAAGTACAGTCTTGGTGAAAATATCAATAATGCATAATTTGCCTCAAATACATTAAAGCTCTAAAGAAATGAGCTTTTTTTTTTTTTTCATTTTAATAGGAACACATACCTCTTGTGACTACTGCTATCATATATTTTATACTGTTATAAATACATTTAAGAGGCCAGAATTTGTCTCAAGATGAGTTGTACTGAAAACTGGCCCTAAGTGTAGTTGTCTTCACATGTTCTGGGTAACTGAAGATTTCTGTAAATTCAAAGCCACTATGAAGACCTGCTGTAGGAAAGTCCATGTAACTTCATATGAAAACAGTCAATAAAAGCAGCATTTGTCACTGATCAGCCTGGATCTCTGGGAGGAGGATAGTAAAGTCATAGTACAACTCTGTAGTTACAGAGCTTTCTCACACATCCCCGAGGCCTCTAAAATGTTACCAGCAAATCTGTTTGACAGAAGGAAGACACTTCTAAAACATGGGTTGCCAATGGTCTGAAGAAGCTAGTAAGGACATTTGTTCTGTCCCTGGGCATGCCTCTAATGGCCTGAAGAAAACCAGAAGGGTGCCAAAGATCTCTGTACTGGCCCTTAATAATCATGGCTAAAAATAACTAGTTCTGATTGTTTCCTTCAGCTTTGATATCTCATCTTTCTTTTGACGCCCCCAGTCTCTACAGCCACAGCCAACTTCTTCCCACATCTGAAGAGTTTCAAAAAGGAAACTAGCAAGCCACTATAGCACTGAGGTAGAACCACAATGAAACCTGGGGCAATGGCAACTGCATGAATTTCAGCCCTAGTTTTCATTTGCTGCAGTCTTTTTTTTTTTTGACTGTTGTGGCTTTCGATAGTGGTTTCAAACTTGCTTTTAAAAAAATCTCATTTTCTTTCTTTCCTTTTAGTAGCTTGAGTTTAGATTAAGTATGTTGGCAGAGGAGGTAAGGCTTGAATAATTTTCATGCATCAGCACTGACAATATCCTTTTTGATACTCATTTTTTTGGAAATAATAACATTCTTAGGATGAAATTATGTATCAGAGTAATAACAATGAGAACAGAGTGTAGCATGTTGGAAATATCTGTAACATAATGCAATATCTTGGTATCCCTTTTATCTGAAAGTATTTATTCATTATGAAAGCATGTTAAAGAGTAAAATAGCTATCTAAAGCTGGTACTTACATGATTCCTATCACAGCTGTATCTGAGCTATCACAAAAGACATAATGCCCCACTGCATTAGGACTGTGAAGCTTCCCTAGGTGTTGCTCAGCTGTAGATCTGAGGAGTGGAGGGACTAAATGGTCTGTTCAGGAGCAGGGAGGAAGCCAGGGACAAAGGAGACAGCAGACTCTCCATAAGTAGTCCGTTGGGACTCTGAATACAGATTTAAAACCAGCTTTAGATAACCCCAGGAGATGGGGCAGGATGGCAGAAAGCCTGCAACAAGATGCGTGATGATCTGCCATTGATCTTCAGAGGGCCATCAGAGCCCAGAAGTGGGGGAAGAGTTGAGAAAGGCAATTAACCTAAGTGGTCACAGATGTTCTCACTCCACATCTGCCCTCTGCAGACTTCATTGGTGTGGTTTCTGTGGAAACAGAAACTCTGCTAAATGGAGCTGCTGTCCCTGTCAGGATCTGTTTTTAACAAAAATGTATATTCTCCAGTAGCGCAACAAGAGCTTGTTGATGCAGGAAGGTGCAAAGCTATCCTGCAGCAGCAGCATTGCATATTCCTATTCAAACTAGAACAGCTTTTGATCCAGGAATAATTTCAGGGTTTGATATGCATTAATCCAATATATCATTCTGTTTCAGGGAAGTTTCTAACTGTCACAGAGACCCTATGTAATCCTTCGGGGTCAGTTCTAGTAGTCTTTCTGACATTTTAATATAGCCAAGGAAAGAAGGATTTGAGCTAAACTCCCAGCTGCAACATTTAAGCATGTGTCTGTCTCTGTGAGTGAATATTTTTTAACTTATTTAGGACAACTTTTATTTCGTATTTTTATAATATCTTACTTGGTTAAGACACCTTGTTTAGTACACTGGGTTTCATATTTTACTGAGTCATTCTTCCACTTTAAGAGGCTTAAAATGGCTTGCGATGCTGGGTACTTTCCCCCCACCTCACCACCAAAAAAAAAAATAAAATCTGTCTCCCTGTTTTGTTTTCTGCTGACTGCACTGAACTAGCAGAATAACCTTAAAGATAATTGACAAAATGACAGGATAGAATAAAATGTTGGAACGGAAGAACTGACACAGGCATTCCTGGACTTCTTAACAGTTAAACCACAATGGCCTGTTCAAATGAACGTATTAGTCCCACAAAACATATTAGTCCCACAAGAGAAAGTAAATTTTATCGCATCCAGAAATTCCGTGCAGAGCAAAATGGCTAACAACTGCTTACTGCCATGAGTTGAACTGACCACGTCTTACAGCAGACTGAAGACTAAGCTGAAATCCCTCCCACCTTCTCTGAGGTTATCAGGAACAAAGAAAGGCCATCTGGACCTCCTGTAACAGCCGCAGAGCTGGCAATAACCTTGGCTGCAAGAGCTTCAGTGGTGGATTTAAAAGAGGATGGATTCTAGACATCTCTTTTAAAAGAGTCCTAAGCGCGTATAAAACAACCGGATGAGAATGATAGGCAGCAGTGTTTACTTTGCATTGAGTAAATGACTACACAAAACTTAACACCCAAAGTCAGGTACAGGGAGAGGAGAGGACCTTACTCTGAGTTACCTGGTCACCCCTGAGATGTGATAAATGACCACACAGGGCTGTAGTCTGCCACCAGTACCATTGCCTTGGAAAACCCCATCACTGTTCTTTGCAAGCTTGTGGAGGGAGAGTGCCTGGAAACAGGTAGAACACAACAACCAAGAAAAGAAGCATGTTGTCGGATTTTACTTTTTACGTTAGCCAGAGAAGTAAGAATCAATGTCAACCCAATTTCCAGAATGAGCTAAAAATAAACCAAAGTGTTTATTTTTAGATGTACCAAGCTATTCAGTAACAACTCAGCTTTATGGCATGTAGGAATAGGATCCAGAATCTGATTTTGGTTATACTGCTGGAAGTTTTCCATTGGCTTCAAAGATAATTAATAGTTTCACCAAAGTAATTTGATCAGAATTTGGCCATAGATCTATTGTTCCTTGATGTGATGCACTTACACATAAGTTTTAGTGGAAAAATATGTATTAAAAAATAAAATAAAAAAAATAGAATAGAAGCAACATGTTTATCTACCTCACAGCTTTTTTCAGGTTTAAATGCTTTGAAGTGTTTTGAGGATGAACAGTGCTATATGTATGCTAAGCATTATATAAATGCATAATATTAGGCATGCTGTTTTCATCTTTGCCCACAGCATGTTAATGACATATCTGCATTGGGATGAAACACAACACTATTGAATAAAGGTTGTGGATTATGTTTGTGTTTCACAGTGTTAGGTGATATGCTGCTTCTGATCTCCAGGTCACTGCTCAAATCTGTCAGGGGTTAATCATGGCCGGTTGTTCCTATCTGATGCCTGGTATGCTCCTGCTGCTAGAGGAAAAGTTGTTCCACTCTGTAACTCATCAACTTAGTTTAGAGCCAGTGAAAATGCTCTGTGAGGATGCCAGCACTTACAGGGATAGAAGAAAATGCCAGTTGTTATTCCGGGATAACCTAGGCAAAACTCAGCTAAGCAATGTTGGTGATGGTGATGATAGAATTAAGTATATATAGCTAAGAGACTGTAAAGTCCAGCACCTTTTAGGAACACTAAAAGCTATCTGAGAATAAGTTTAGTAAGTTTACTTAAGATAGTTCCATTTTTTACAGAGATCTGATACAGTTGCAATGAAATATGGGTCAGAAGATCTCACCGGTGTGCCAAAACATTTTCTAGTATGGTTTTCAAGTCTATCTCTGAGAACGTTGAAGTGTATTTCAGTTGCAAGACTGAGATATATATACAACATTTTCAGGTTAGATTTGTATCTTGAGCCTTACTTTTGGCACTGCACCTCTTTTGCCAATATTTGCCCTGTAGAAGTACATTGAAAACCTACCAGATCAAAACTTAAGGTCTTCTGATCAGTTTTTATTGAGATCTTACTAGAAGCAGAACTCACAGTAGTTCAAATCCTGATGGATAAAAAGCACCTGAGCATGCACCCTTCCCTCTGATTTCCATAGCAGTTGTTGCTGAGTAATGACTGGATGCACCTCCTGCTCCTGCATCAGGGCTGCTGACAGGAGCAAGCGGGAGGAAGATCAAGCTCCGGCGAGGACAGACTTCAGGAGCTGGTCCATTCTTCTTTCACACAGATGGGAGTGTCACAGCGTGCTTTCCTGCCTAATGAGTCTCAACACAGCCTTGCACAACTCAGCCTCCTTTAAGCTTTTAACCAGGGTGTAGGAGTTCAGAAAAAAAATCACCTCCCTTCCCCCAAGAAAAATATAATTGCAAAGATTTGTTTTGATGTAGCACAAACAGTAAACTCGAATCACTGAAAGTGAGCAACACATTTGTGTGAGTATTCTTTCTTTCCCTAATTTTCATTCCCAGTTAGCTATTCGTTTTATTTACCTCCTAGAGAATACACACTAGGGACTGGATCTGACTCCCAGTGAGGCTCATGGAGGAGCTGCCAAGGCCATAATCCTTGGGGCTGTAAAACAGCTCCTCTTTGTTGACCCCACTGGGGCTATCCCAATATATAACAGCAGACAGTCTGGTCCTCATCATTGTTAATGCAGACAGTTCTCCATGTGAGCCATCTTATGGGACAAAGCAAATGTTAATGCATAGTAATACTATCAAAATAGTGCATGGTGATAGGTTCCACTTTCATTGAAATTGTGTTACTAATTACAGTGCAAGTTACATAACTACAAGTACTTATTTTTTATAAGACTCACTTTTTTTTATACTGTGAGAGAAATCAGGATCCCAGTTTGTTTAAGGCTTCATACAAACAAAAGCCTTGATGTTACAACATGATCCGTGCTAAAAGCCATGCATATACGCAACTTCAGTGTTAAGATCATGGTCCTTGCAAGCTCTCTACATCTCTGGTAAAGCCAACATAGAAGCTTCAGATTTATTCTTCTGTTAACAAGCTTAGAATATGGATCTTGGTTACTATTATTACCAGTACGTAGCATGCCAAGATGTGTAGGAGAAATGGAAGAGCAGTCTAAAATTCAAATTATGCACTAAATGGGCATAGCAAATAGCAGAGCGAGAATGGAATACCAAGGAACAAAGCCAAGAAAATGCTTGTTCAATTTAGGGAAGATGGTGTGGCAAAATTGACTAATGTTTTACAATCATATACTCACTGTAGAGTCATTTATTGTGACCAGCAGTAAGAAAAACACTAATGAATGGCTAGAGAAATGTACTGATTGAGCCCTTAATATCGATTCAAAACAATGTCATCAGTGAATATGGGAATTTCTTCATAAGATGAAAAAGAATAAGATCATATCTCTGGTACTTATATAGCCTCTTTTACCATGGCACCTGGGCACCTTTCTCATGACAGTTATCATATCCCATGCAACTGGGGAGCTTTAGGACAGGCCCACAGCAGCAGGCATCCCTGGAACCAGGGCAGGTTGACAAGGGAGGGCACAGCCAGGATGGGTTGTCCAAGCCTGAGTGGCTGATCCCTATCTCCTACTAGCATAGCTACTGGTACCATCACCTAGCAGTAGCTCTACAAGCCTTCTCCATTCCATCCCATTCTATCCCATCCTTCTCTTCACCATCTGAGAAGTCAGGCTGAACTATAGGCAGCTGGTATTCTAAGCAATCATCCTAATGCATAGTTCATGAGCGAGCCATTGGCTGCAATGTTTGTGTTAGTCATTTATCAAATAATAACCAGCATCAAAGGCTAGATCCTGCAAATGGAAGAATGAAGCTGATTCCTGCACCTTGGTATGAGGAATGTGTCTTGAGGCCCATGTTTATGGAGCTGCAAATTTGTTCTTTGATCTCTTACCAATAAGAAGACTAAAGGAATGCAATTTTTGTTGTTAATATTTTGCTTAATGTTAGTCTAGGGAAAGTCCGTTAGTAATCTATAGCTATCCCGTCGGTCTCAAGGGACACGTCACGTACATTAAAGGACACAAATCAATAATTAACATAAAATCCTCCTAATCCTAAAGTCAAATATTAACATCCTCCCTTACTTTTATCTTTTCTTCTTTTCTTTTTTTTTTTTTTGGCTTCTAGCAGATTTCTAAACAACCCAAGGCTGAGAGTGGTAGAATTTTGCCCTGAGATGAAAACATAATGAGACAGCCATGTGCCTTCCTGTCTGTGCCAGATTTCAGGCATATAAGTCCACAGTAAGCTCAAAACTTAAGTATGCAGGGAAGTGCATCATGATGTGTTATAATCCTGCAGTTTGCTCTAATCAAGAAAAGATTCAATACCGAGTACCTATAAAGAAGAAATTTGGGGGTCAAAAGATATTCTTCTCTGGAATTTAAACTGCTTCTTTCTAAAAGTGTGAAAAAAACCCCACCTAATTGCCATTTATAGAAACAATTCAGTTGATATAATTCTTTAAAATATGCCTATTTGATTATTTTCAAAATTAGTCAGATGTTTCATTTCTGAAACTGAGTTATGAACCTGTACATAAATCCTTGTAGTAAAAGTTCTATTTTCCTCTTGCAGCATTAACATTTACAGCATTGAAAAAGGTGCAATTGTGCCACATGTTCAAAGCAATTCCAAATTCTAATTAAAGGGTAACTCAGGTTATAAAGCAGTTCTAAAGTTAAATATATGGGCATAATTTATTAAGTGTAGGCCTTTTTTTCCAAGGGCATAATTTATTAAGTGTAGACCCTTTTTTTCAAGTGCACATCTGGAAATAGTGCCTATCAATGTATATTTATACCTGTACGCATAATAAACTGCACACAGTAGATACACTAGGTGCAGGCATATAGTTAGTTCAGACATATTCCCAAGGCATTTTCAACTACTAACATTTTTGTCAGTGGGAAGGAATGTGATCTTTCATAACACTGAAGTTATTGTTTATTTTCTCCTTTCTTTTTTGTTGTAGGAATTAGACATTTTGGTTACTTATTACCATGAGATAATTCCCACTAGTCTGCTAAAGGCATAAGCAAGGCAAAGTGTTTCCTAATTCCCAGAAGGCATGTGTTATCTCATGGTAACACACACAGATTGCAGTGTGACATTTCTTCTTGATACAGGTAAATGGTCCAGGATATAGCTTTGTCCTTCCATTAAAATCTCACTTGTGTTTCCCTGTTTGCAAAATACTTTATCAAGATGTGTAGTACAGAATAAATATTTAGTGGAGCACTTGTACCGCTGTGTTTTTAACAAAGTCCAGAGGAAGACTAAAGAGAAACATACGACTGCTAAAAAACTGAAGGGCTGATGTTAGGTGAAAGTTGTTGTCTTTACTCTTGTGCGTGTGGGAAAGGATATTGATATTCTCATGCTGCTGATGGGCAACAGAGTGTGGATAGCTGTCTTAAAACATGTTGTGAATTTAATGGAAATATATTGTTCTTAGATGTTTTCAGGATGTTGCTGTTGGGCCTTGACTATAACAAGGTTTCCTAACTTTGATCAGCAAATCAGGCAAAGAGTCTTCTGCAAATCTTCTCCTCCTTAGTTGTCTGTATTTCTCAATACTCTCATCCAGGAACATATCCAGGATGCACCCCAACTTTCAGATGGCTCCTTGTACTGTCAGTTCTGCAGGTGGTCACTTAGAAAGATGGACAAGTCTGTGCAGTGTGCAGCTGCCTTCTGCCACTTTGACCGTCTTTCAAGCCAGCTCTGAGTTATTTTTCCACACAGTGGTTTACTCTGAGGCAGAGATTCTCCATGCTGTTAATCTCTGCTCAAGGGAGATGTAAAATGTCCCTTGTATAGGATACAGGAGAAGGAAATAGAGGAAGGCAAGCCCCCAGATCCATCATTAATTTCTGATTGCACCATACTTTTTCCTCAGTTCCCTATAGTAGTGTCTCATTCTACTACTCTCAGCTCTTCATTTGAGTTTGAAATCCACTGAGATCAATATACAATGAATGTGGACATCAGAAGACAGATAAATGATGAAACAGAGAGAGGACTACGAAATTATTAAGCCTACTAATTATTGCACTTGGGGATTTCTTCCAGAAACCAGGGTCCTTCCAGATTACCTCTAGAAAGGAATTTGCAGCCAGTGGGCACATACTTCGTGTGTCATTACTTTATTGTATACTTCTGATGAGGAAATACAGCCCTTTCTTTATGTACAATTAGCTATTACATTTGCAAATAGTCACCCATATCATATTATAAATGTGGTCTTTCAACCCCAAGTTCCTCTGTGTTACAGAGTCACCAACAAAGGAATTTCTTTCTTCTATTAAATGGGGCTCAGACATGAGAAAATTCTCCACAGGGAACTCCCATATACCAACAAATTATCATGAACCTGATTATCTTCTAAATACGGTCATAAATCATCTTTTCCTTTTTGCTAGTAAAAATCTCTTGATTAGTTCGGGACATTAACAGGCAAATTTTTAGCAATAGGTTTTGGTGCTACAAATGCTTTCCTTCAAGAAAAAGGGGGGAAAGATGTTTGGATTGGAGGGAGCTGGAGAGGCACACTGAATCAAACACAGTTCGCTGCAGTAGCAAGACCAACATGAAAACCAGATTTTTTTTCCTGTGATTTTCTTTTCCCCAAAGTTGTCAGTGTGGCTAGGTCACCTACAGATGTATTTCTCAAGATGACAGCCTTTGCTTTGAGTCTGTTACATACAGAGCTGAACATGGGCTCTGAAGTTTTAAACTGGATTTCCAGTTAGAGTTCAAGGAAGATTTGGGATTTTGGCTTGTTTTCATAGCTAATTAAATGAGTTAAAATCCTAGCTGTCTTGAAGTCAATGGGACAAATCCCACTGGTTTCACTGGGGCAAGAATGTCACCCCTTGCAGTTTAAAGGTCAACTACAAAAACAGAACTCCGATTCTGACCATACAGTAATTATATCATCTTGTTATGCTTTTATTCTACTGGATCTATCCATTTGCCTTACTATATATTTATAAAGGTTTCCCTGCCTGGATTTCCTGCGATCTATTCAAGGGGTGTGATCTTCAAATCCAAGAGACAGAAAGACCACTAGGAAGTGCATGAAGTGATAAAACACTGATAGCATTCTGGCACTTAAATTCCAAATCCCAGTGGATTCACAAGATAGATTCCATTTGTTTTAATTGTCTCTGCATAAGTTCTTTTAAGTGCTTGAGGAGTACTGGACACCATCAGATGAGATGTGCCATCAGAAAAAATTAGCAATAGTATTTTATGTAGCTGTAATCTTATTTTTTTTAATCAGGATGTCTTCCTCAAATATTCCTAGCCATATATGGTATGAACTTTTTGCCTTTATTCAGGAATTTCCTTTTCAATTTCTGTTTTTCTTAAGGCAGCCTCTACTAGGAC